GTGCGTCGGCGATGTTGGATGCGCCTTTCTTGTACGTAATCGAGTAGTGGAAGTTGGACTCGAGGTAGTCCAACCAGCGAATCTGTCGCGGATTGAGATTTGGTTGGGCGCGTAGGTACTGTAGTGATCGGTGGTCTGTCCGTACTGTCACGTCGGCGCCAGTCAGGTAACACCGCCAAACTTTGAACGCGTGCACAATCGCCAATATTTCGCGGTCGTGTATCGGGTAGTTGGGTTCGGGCGGGTGCAGCTTGCGGGACTCATATGCGATTGGCTGGAGGTCGTTCCCAAAATCCTGCAACAGTACTGCTCCCAAAGCGATGTCACTTGCGTCAGTGACGAGCTCGAACGGACGGTGTGGATCTGCGATGTGAAGCACGGGCGGTGAGCACAAAATGTCTTTGAGGGCCGAGAAGGCAACTTGCTCTTTCTCCCCCCACGTGTACTCAACCCCCTTCCTCAGCAGGTCTGTCAGCGGGGCAGTCAGCTTCGCCATGTCGGGGACGAACCGGCGCACGTAGTTGACGAACCCCAAGAAACTCTGCAACTCGGTCAAGGTGGTCGGCGCGTGCCATGCTTGAATCGTCGCAATTTTCTCCGGGTCTATTTCCACTCCTGCAACTGAAATAACGTGTCCCAAAAACTCCAGGCGGTCCTGTAAAAATTCACACTTAGACGCTTTTGTCAGTAGGTGGTTCTCACTCAGTATTTTAAAAACTGCTTCGATGTCCTGTAAGTGATGTGCTCTGTCAGGGCTGTAAATCAGTATGTCGTCCAGATATACTATGACGCACTTGTCTAAGAGCGGGCGGAAAGCTTCGTTCATGGTCAGTTGAAAAGTGGCGGGGGCGTTGGTCAGTCCGAAAGGCATGACGGTGTATTCGAAGGATCCGTACATGTGCGAAATGCGGTCTTAGGGCGGTCGGGCGGATTGACGCGAATCTGGTGGTAACCCCCTCGGAGGTCGATTTTCGAGAAAACCCGGGCTGTGCGCAGTTGGTCGATCAGTTCGTCGGCTCGCGGGATGGGGTAACGGGATTTGATGGTAACCCTGTTCAGTGCTCTGTAATCTATGCACATGCGAAATCCCCCGTCTTTTTTCGGTGTGAACAGTATCGGTGCTGCGAAGGGCGACGAACTAGGGCGAATGAACTCCTTCTCGAGCAGGTAATCGAGTTGCTTCCTCAGTTCGTCCAGTTCGGGCTGGGTCAGTCGGAACTGTCGCTGTACTGTTGGCTGTGCCCCCGGTTCTAACTCTATCCTGTGGTCGTGCGGTCGCTGAGGTGGCAGTCCCGTCGGTAAATCGTCCGGGAAAATGTTGCTGTACTGCTTCAACAGTGCTGCCAGGTCACTCGGTACGTCGGTCAGCAGTTTCTGTAAATCCCCTCCTTTGTCTGCTGCCTCGGCTTCCCGAATGTCGACCGCGTACACGTCAGCTCCTGCCGCTACAGCGCGTTTCATCGTGATCGTGTTGACACGCACCGACGAAGACTCAGGCGAGCCCCAGCGAGGTAGGGCGATGTTGTTACCATTCACTCGCACGGTGCAGTCACCCGTCGTCCAGTCGATTCGCGGATTGTGTCGTCGCAGCCAATCACGCCCGAGTAAAATATCGGTTCCGTCGAGGGTCGTTGCGAGCATTTCCTGGCTAAACGTGAAGTTACCCCCACATCGAATCCGAACCCGGTCTACGCGTTCCCGTATTGCCAGCGGCGTGCCGTCTACCAGTCGTGCGTCGATCTCAGGTAAACATCTGTTCAGTGGCAGTCGCAGTTTTCGTGCTGTAGCAGTATTGATGAGGCTATGGCTGGCTCCCCCGTCTACGAAGAGTTTAACTAAATCCGTCCCGATTTTCCCACTAAGCAGTATGGGGCTGTCTACCGTAGTCCCCTCCTTATTCGGTCGAGTGTGGTCGATTGCGTGAACCGGCACAATCACTCGGTGAGGGTCGGTTGGGTCGGGCGAGCGGCGTGACCTGTCAGTAGAGGGCCCGTCTGCTACTGACTCCCAGCGTTTCCCTGCTGCTTGGTCTGTTTCTGCTGCTCAGCTTCCCCCTTTCCCTTAGCGTTTTCCGGGCATTCGCTCTTGCGATGTCCCGGCCGATTGCACGCAAAGCAGTGCCCTTTGAACGGTGCGGCAGCGGCATTTGCGGCGACGGCACGTATCGTGGCGCCCTCGTTCGTCCCACGAGGCCGATGTCCCCAATGGCTGCTTCCGTAGGACCCCGGTCTCGGTCGGCGGAAGAAATCAAGTTTCTCCGCCATAGCGAGAATTTCTTGAAAATCGGTGACGCCGCGAAGCTGGATTTCCTGAGCGATGTCCTGCTTCAGGCCGCCGATGTAGCGGTCGATGCGCTCGCTCTCGTGCATATATCCCACCTGTTCGCATAGCGCCAGAAATCCGCTCGTGTGGTCTTGGACGGAACCGAGTTGGCGCCAAGTGCGGAGCTTCTGTCGCGCCGCGATCGAAGCCGCGATTGGCTCGAAACGAGCGCGCAGACCTGCGCACCACGCATCCCACGTGCGATACTGGGACACCTCCACGAAATACGACGGCGCCCAGGGTCCGGTTTGTCCTTCCCGTGTCGGTAGAGTCGCGTAGTCCACCGGCTTCGTGACGATGACGCGCCACCAGTCCATGGCGGGTCCTCGCAGCAACGACACGGCGTAACGAATCTTCGCCGTATCCTCCGAGACGTAGTTCGCGTCGAAGAAAGCGTTCAACGTGAAGAGCCACGCCTGAATGGTAGGACCACCCCGCTGACTTGGGTCAAAGCATGGCGGACGCTGCGGCTTTAACGGCATCGGCGACGGAAGAGTTGATTCGCCGGCCGGCACCGAAATCGTGACTCGAGGCTGAGTCCTGGCCGCATTCGTCGCGTCGGGGTGTGTCGTGCCGTGGTCGTCGTCTCCGTCATGGCGGACGACGCCATCACTTGCGGTGCTCGCGGGTTGCCCCACACTCCTGTGCTGTGATGTCTGTGGTGCGGGTTGAATCGGAGTGCCAAGTGCTTGGGATTGTGCTCGTGTGAGGTCGTTTTGCAGGGACGAGCGTTCTGCCGTCAGCGTCGTAATTTCCTCGGCGCTCTCGCGAATTTGTCGCAGCAGATCGTTCAAGTGCTCCTGCGTGAGAGTCGTGACGTCGATATGTTCAGCCATTTCGAAGAGCGTCGTCTCGTCTTAGTCTAGGCGCAGTCGTGGCTGCACGCGTTTACGAGAGAACGCGAGGACAGCGGCTCCTAGGTGCTAAGGTACGTGAGTCCCTTCGAGTGAAAAATCAAAAGTTGATTTCCTGGGGTGCGGAGATGCGCGGTCCGAAAGGAAAGAGGCTCTGATACCAAGTGTTACGGGTGCAATGAATCGAAGTAGCGAGAATTGCACTAGGGTGTCAAATGAGTACAACCATGTGAGCGAAGGCATGAGCGAACATTTATACGCGAAACATGCAAACGGTAACGCGGTGCGTGCGAGCTAGCTAGTACTATGCTGGCAGCGAGGCTCGGGCTAGTCCCGAAGCGTAGGCCGACACGGCCGGGCCAGCAGTGCGAGGTTTGGCAAAACAGTGCGCGCGAAGTTGGCGAAGTCCCGTTAGCAGTAACGGGCGAACAACGGCTGTTGCTGTACGCGATGTAGTCGGGCTCCGTAAGGAATACCGAGAAAATTCCTTACAGTACTAAGGTTGTTACGCGGCATCTGGTGCTTTCCACGTCAGCACAATATATCGATGTGGCTATCTTTCAGGGAAATTCCAACCAACCACCTTTCATCGACGCATTTGGCCGAAACAGACACCACCCACTTGGGAAACAGTAAACACTGCAAACGGCAATAGCACTTGGCGATCAGCCCATTATGCTGACCGAAATTCCTTCTAGCTTGTGTTCCAACCCAACACATTATAACAATTACGTTGAAACGTATTTTTAGAGGCTGTCAGCTGTTCGGCTACGTTCTGAATCTAACCTTCAGCTAACCCAAAAGGTTATGAATCCTTGGAACATCCCACCCTATCCATTCGCCGTAATTCGAGGAAGCAAAGGCCATGACAGACAGGTCCTCCGTAATTCGACTTGGCGTTTTACACATGATGCCCGACCCATGCACGCGAATTTGCCCTGCCCGCCACAGAAACCTTGCACGCGTGCATTTGGTTCCGGGCAATTGCCCCCTGGTTAGAGGCACGCAAAACCACTTGTGCAAGTTGGGTAATCACGACAACAGCAACATGCCAGTCAACAACAAACGCACCCGCCCCCATGTTTCCTTGTTCTTATGCCAGGGACAGGCAGCGCGAAAACCGTGGATGAAATGGGTTTGACGTCGCGCACAGCTTCACTGCTTACCGTATGCCACGTCGTCGTGTTTCAATGTGCGCCAAACACACAAGACTCAAGCAAAATCGCCACGTGGAGGTTGCCCGTACAGCGATGACCCACGTCACCCGATGCATTGAAACTGTCTCCAGTGCATGATAGAGACCCATTCAAAGGGCCCATTCACTCCCCGAATGTGGGTTACTGACTCGGAAACGACCCTCGTGCCCAATAAACACACGTCACATCGTATGGCGGGTGGTTACCTATGAATGTTACACGCACTTCCTAGTGCTCATTCTCCGCTGAAGGTGCACAAGGCAAAAACTCAACTTCAAACATTGTCGGAATTGCGAACAGCGAGGAGCACCAAAGGAGGATAAAATGCCGCGCATTTACACTCGACATTCATATTCTCGTCTCACTTACCTCTCTAACCATGCCTCGCCTCTACCGTCGCTCCCAGCTTCCCGTGTACATTAAGAATGCAGTCTGCGCGCATCATGTGCAGAATCCTCTTATGCGCCAGGTTGACCTGGCGCGCTGGTGTTTTACTCGATACGGAATCCGCCCCGACCGCTCTACTATCGGCCGGATTTTGAAGGGCGCTGATCGTTGGAGCGCGCCGTCAGCATCGAACAACCCCGTCCGTGTTCGGGGCGGAGCTCACCCCGACCTTGAGCGCGCAATGGTGCGCTGGATCTCGAACGCCGGCCTGGCTGGAATCCCGCTCACGCTGCAGACAATCCGCGACCACGTCGCGGTCATCGCACGTGACTTGGGAAAGCCGCCCTCATTCCGCTGTTCCGTGGGATGGGTGCGCCGCACACTGCGCCGCAATGGCATCCGGTGCCAGAGCGCTGCTGGCGAAGCCGCGGATCAGGACATGGCGGCCGTGCGCACTTGCAAGGAGAAGCTCCCGCAGCTTCTCATGCACCTCTGCGTCTCCCCGCGCGACGTCTACAACTTCGACGAGACCGCGTTGTTCCTCTCGGTGTTGCTGCGGAAGACATACGGGCGTTCTCGTGTGGCTGGTCGCAAGATTCCTAAGGAGAGACTCACCGTCGGCCTTCTCGTGAACGCGGACGGGAGCCATGCATTCCGCCCGCTCGTCATCTCGAAGTCGAAGAGGCCCCATGATTTCCGCCCTGATTTCGACCCCGACGCACTGTGCTACTGGAGGAACAACGCGAAGGGCTGGATGACCGCCCCGGTAAGTGCTTCGTGCGCCAGGTTGGCTTCGGTTTTTTTTTGGAGATGCTAGGCTTGCATGTGTTTGTGAGAGCGCGTTCTCTCATATATACGTCTCTCCCCCCGCCCGTTCCCATATATTCTCCGCAGCTCTTCACGCACTTCATGGAGCAACTGAACGCGGCAATGTTCGCCGAGGAACGTCACATCGTCATCCTCCTCGACAACGCCTCGAGCCGCGTGCTCAAGACCGAGGGAGCCGAGACCGAGGACTTGTTCGGCTTCCGCACTCGGTCGCTGAGCAACCTCAGGCTGGTGTTCCTTCCACCGAACACCACCTGCTTCGTTCAGCCGCTGGACCAGGGCCTCATCGCCATGATGAAGGCCCGCTACAGGCAGCATTGGCTCGAGGCCGTCGTCGCGAAATGGGTAGAGGGCGGCGCCACGGCTAATTTCGCGCGCTACAAGCCGAATCTCCGCGACGTCCTGGCGTGGCTGCTGGACGAGTGGATGAACATCGGCCCGCGCACGATTCAGAGGTGCTGGTGGCGGACGGAGTGCCTCCCTCTCGCGTGGGCCCTGTCTCTGTCCCACGTGGGTGCCGCGGGCCTCACCCCAGGTGGCCGTGGTGTTGCGCCGCTCGCCATCGATCTCGATGGCGAGATCGATGACGTGGGCATTCTCATCGATCGTCTTGGCCTCGGACCAAGCGCGATGCCGGCCGCCGACTTTGTCGCAATCGACAACGGGCAGCCGACGTGCGCGGAGCCGGGCGAGGACCCTTTGGCCGACGAGCCCGCGTCGGCGTATTCGGCTGCGTCGTGGGAAGCGCCTACGAACATGGAGGCTGTCTACAACGACGACAACCCCGCGTCCCGCGAGGCTCGTCGCTATGCGCGCGCCGCATGCTTGCTGAGATTGGCCCGGGAGAGGACTGGGGATGTTTGTGAGGGAATGTGTTGTATATTGTAATGGGCCAATACGGTTTGAAGAATTAATGTGGTAACAACAATAACAGTTACGAAACAAATGCGGCAATCCAGCACTGTTTCGGGTAAAACAAACCTGTAACATTCGGTGTTTTTTATAAGCCCATGTTGGCCCATACGAAATGCAACGAACCCCACGAAATGCCCTAATCACTTACAAGCCCAAAGCACAAGGCAACCTTGGGGGACTCTAACGAGCATTAGCTGTCTGTACGCTTCGGTTTCCCCCCTCATTTGGCCGTTGGCTGATTGGTGACCGCTGCTGCAGGGTCCGCCTGGGGATTCACGATTCATGACGAACCTGGCCTTGATCAGCGTAGGTGTACCCAAGGGCACGCCGCCTCGCTGTACAGAACAGAATATGAAACCAAGTTAGGAACAGAACAGACTGCCGTTGATCATACCAACCAGGCATAGCAGCCTAGGTTTCATCATAGGTCTTCTCCACCACCTTTCCTAGGAATCTCCTCGGTTCCATCCACCTTGGTTTTCTAGTCTCCTCTGAATCACCTCGAATTCATCAACTCCGGACGGGTGTGACAGAAACCAGTTCGCTGTAGGTAGTAGTATTTAGAAGTCAAGTTTGTCATTCCCTTGAACTTAGCTTCGGCTACAGCTATCACCGGGATTGCATGTGGAAAGTAGGAGAGACCGTTGCTGTAGGGGTAGGCGGACGCTCGGCTCTGCTGTCAAACGTCGCTCCGGACGCATCCAGAGGCGCTAAGAGTGAGTCCCTGTAACCACGTCTTGCTTTCGCACCGAAGCAATAAACGCTTTTCGCGAAGTGACTTACGTGACGCGTTATGGCTGTGACCTCACAATAGCACTTGGCCTATTCGGCTCGTGACGTGTTATGTTTGTGTGGATGTGCGTCGCGCCAAGTTTAATTTTCGCATTCGTCAGTTCGGGCTTTCTAACCGGCTTTGACCCCTCCATCGTCCTTCTCCACAGCAATGCCGTTTGACTCAGTTTCCTCTGTCTGCGACTTCAAACTCCCGTCCTTCGCCATGGCGACAGAAATATCTGCTGGAGCGAGGTCAACCAGCCCGACCTCCACGTCACTTAGGCGAAGGCGGCAGGACCATAAGCGACATTCCCAGTCAAGCTCCTCGTCAGCCGCCGCTTTGTTCCGTACCGGGCAAACCCCGGCCGGCGATTGGCAAGGAGCAGCAACCAGCACAACAAAGTGGCGTTGTCGGGTACGGTTTGTACCTTGTAGATTCATCCTTCGCTGTAGCGAGCCGACTAATGTGCAGCTGTCGCATATAGGACCCGACTAGTGACCTCAAGTAGCCTCCTTGCCCGGTACGTTCTAAAGTCTACTTGAAGTCATCATAATACGTCCAGAACTCTAGAACGTTTCGCCGTGCTCTTTAAGAAGAACTATCAAGCTGTACTGATTCGCTTGTGTTGCATTCGGCTTTGCGCAGGCCGCCGTTCCGCACCAAGCCGCTGGTTCCAGAAACCGAGGTATGCCATGCTTTTTTCCTTTCTCGGTGTGAGATTAACCATTGAGGAGTGAACACATTTTTTTTCCCTTGTTACGCGTTCATTCTTACAACGTCCCGTACGGATTCTTCAAACCGCGATCCCCCGTTTTGGTCGTATTGCGCGTTTGGCGTCCGTTGATGTCGTTTCTTCCCCTCCTTCCAGGTTCAGCTGAGGATGAGTCGGACATAGACGGGCTTGCAGAAGAGAGCGCTGTCCTGCGAATCACGAACCACCACGTGGATATGGACCTATCGGCAGACGACACAGAAACAGGCGACAGCGTGCGAGCAGTCGCATGGTCCGACGATAGCGGGTTACTCGTAGTCGAAGCAGACGATGGGAGCGAGATCAAAAGCAACGGTAGAGGGGGTGAACGTGCTGTGAACGGCAATGCCCTAGGGAGAGATAGCGGAAGGCAGAAAATAGCGGCGAAGGAAGAGGAGGGAATGGGGGGAGAGGAGGAGCTAGGGGTGGCTAGCGAACTCCCTATACCGATATTATCTTCCGCAGAAGAACCCAAACGGCCGTACGAGTTCAAGATCCTCAAGGTGAGACATGTTTCCGAACACAGCACTGATCCCGTGTGTCGTAGCTTGTTTTTTTGCATTTCGTTTTGTGGCTTTGTCGTCCTCCATGGATGCGGAAATCACTTTATTCTGATTGCTGTATTTGCACCCTGTTGTCCTCATGTCTTCCTCATGCGCCTACCTCATACGGCTGTAATCTGTACGCCTGACTCTGTGTAACTGTCCATGCAGGAGGAGCTGAAGTTCTCACGCTACCTGAATGTCTTCAACCGAGTGGTCGAGGTAAGCTCTTTGCTCACGTGCGTGGCACTTCCTCTGTCAGCCATCTGTCACACGTTGCACGCTGCAGTGTGTTCGTTTGTAATGAAACATGGCTCTCTTCTCCAAGATGGAAACAAGTTTTGAGTTCTGCTACTAGCGTGTGAAATCATGCAGCAGAAAGTTGTCAACTCCAGCCAACCCACCAGTCATCCACGTTGGCTTTGCCTTTGGAACACCAGCGACGTTCCTGCACTGGTTGACTTAATTGACGCAGAGTGTGGCTCTTACTATACTGTTCTCAATTTCAGACTCTTTCCCGGTTCTGAGCCGCATCCCGAGCCGCATCCCGTGCCTCATCCCGTGCCTCATCCCGTACCTCATCCCATGCCTCATCCCATGCCTCATCCCTTGCCTCATCCCATGCCCCATCCCGTGCCTCATCCCGTGCCTCATCCTCTGTTCCCATGCCTCATCCCATGTCACATCCCATGCCTCATTCCAGGGCCCATCAGGTGCCTTATCCTGTGCCTCATCCCATGCTCATCCCGTTCCTCATCACATGCCTCATCTCGCACCACCCCACAACTCATTTCATGCCTCGCCTCATGCTCTTCCTCATCGTCCCCCCGTCCGGTCCTCTCCCCTACTCATTCCCTCTCCCCATCATCTATCCCTCCTCTCCCTTTCCCCTCCCTCTCTTTTCTCTGTCCTCGTCACCTCCCCCCCCCCCCTCCCTCCCCCCCCTTTCCTCCTCTCCCGCTTTTCTTCCCCTCCTCTATCCCCCTCCCCCTTCCTATCCCCTAGCAGCATCCCCCCCAGCCTCTTCCCAACGGTCAAACCCTTCCAGCCAGCATGACCCGACCAGCATCGGACGAGCACCCGGTCGGCGGCGATTGTCTGCTAGCGGAGGAGTTCGGGGTGATAGAGGAGCGACCAGCGAACAGTAGCGGGCACTCGGGCGGGTGGATAGGGTACGGGTTGGAGCCGGGGCAGGTGCAGGGCGGGCAGGGGGAGCAGCGGGCGGAGCTGTGGCCGCAGCAGGTGGTGGAATACGATGTGGTGGCGGCTAAGACCAAGTCGTGCCACTTTGTGTGCGTGCTGCCCTTCCATTCAAAGACCCAGACTGTTACTTTACTGAAGGAATACGCACAGGTACGTGGACGAACATCGGGAATAGTGCTGTAAGCCGCTGGTTAAAGGGTGGTGCAAGGCAGTGGGACAGACATGGTGAGATGGAGCTTGTAGGTGGGGGCAGGGGGAGCAGCGGGTGGATGGAGGTGTGGTTGGCCGCAGCAGGCAGTTGAATATGATGTGGTGGCCTCTAAAACCTATGTCGTGCCACTTCGTCTGCGTTCTGTCGTTCCATTCAAAGCCCCAGACGGTTACTCTGTTGAAGGAATACGCACAGGCAGGAACAGAAAGGACGAGGTATCAAACGAATCAGGTACTTCCCTCTCCTCCCACACACCCTCTCCCCCCCTCTCCATCCTCCTAAATCTCCCTCCTTCTCCCTCCTTCTCTGCCCCTTTCTCTCCCTCTCCCTCACCTGCATAGGCCACAAGCCCACAGGGAGCGAAATCTTTGGAATACACAGTGCCTTTCTCTCCCTCCCTTTGTCTCTTTGATTCTCCCTGTCTCTCTCTCTCCCTCCATTTCCTCCCCTTCCTCCACCCGCCTTCCTCCCCCTTCATTTCGTCCTCTCCCTCCACCTGTCCCTCTCTGGCATGCATCTGACTGCTTTTGCCCGTCTCCCCTCCCATTTCCCCCCTCTCCCTCCGTCTCCCTCCCACTCCCTCCCTCTCCCTCCCACTCCCTCCCTCTCCCTCCCTCTCCCTCCCTCTCCTTCCCTCTCCTTCCCTCTCATTCCCTCTCCTTCCCTCTCCTTCCCTCTCCTTCCCTCACCTTCCCTCACCTTCCCTCACCTTCCGTCTCTTTTTCTCTCCTTCCCTCTCCTTCCCTCTCCTCCTTGTGCCTGCCTGCTCTGGAGATCTGCACACGTGTTTTGAAATGTCTCACAACTTGCTGCCTCTCCCGACCTCCACCTCTCCCTCTACCTCACCCCTGCGTGGCCCGCAGGGAGCGAACGCGCTGGTGTACACAGTGCCGTGTGGGGGGTACACGGACAACCACACGTCCCTGGAGGACTGTGCTCGCAGAGAGCTGTCTGAAGAGGTGAGCAATGAGAAGCGATAGATTTGTTTCGATTATTTACGAGAAAGAAGTATAGGAAGACTGAAATTAGGACTGTCTGATATAGAAGAGCTGTGCTTTGGAAAGAGACGAGCAACGATGGGGGTGATCTCGAAAGAGATGCAAGAGTGTGCGGATTCATGAGAGGGGCTGAAGAAGAGACATGCACCACAAGGTGCAGCATTGGAGAATTCTCAAAAGCAGCACCAACACAGTTGATCTCGGAAGAGACGAGCGATGTGAATTCATGAGGGGGATTGATGAGAGGACATGAGGCACATGGTGCAGTTCCCAGATGCGCTGTGGCCGTAAGTGCATCCGAAATGGTGGGATCAGAACTGCAATCAGGATCAGCTCAGCTGTTCACCACTCACAAGTGTGAGCTCTCTTATATTCTCATCACATCGCGCCCCATGCCTGTCCACCTCACTGCATGCACCAGGCGAAGCTGTGTGGAGGGCAGCTCATCAAGCTCGTGGGGGACGACCACCCTGGTCTGCTTGAGGTGAGTCGTCCCGCCTTTCCACGCTCATCCGTTTCTTCCTGCTCCGCTCGGTGCGCGCTCCTTGCCCTTTCGGCCAAACACAGGCGCGATGACCTCGGAGGTGAACCTGTGTCCCTTGTCACTACTGCCTACCAGGTCTAGTGTTTTTTTCCCCAGTTGTTTTGAGAAGAAGTTTGCTGCGTCTCCTTCCCTTGCTGCGTGGCAGGTCAAGTGCTGATCTGAAACACATTGAAAAGTAACATTTTTCATCGCTCTTCCTTGCTGCGTGGCAGGTCAAGTGGTGCAAGAACCGCTTCACTCCCTTCCTCGTCATTGACCCTCAGGTCAGTCAGCCTCCCCCCCTTTCAACCCCTCTTGTCAACCTTCCCCCTTCAACCCCCCCCGTCAATCTGCCCCCTTTCAACCCCCCTCACGTCAACCTCCACTGCACCTGAATCTCAATGTCATCAGGTGTAATAAAAACTCCTCCTGGATGCTGTCTGTCTCTCTGCTTCCCTCCGCCACTACCCTCCTTCCATAGCCCTCATCTCATCCCTCATGACCCCTTCGCATCCCCACTTTGCCCCTCCCTCCCCTCTCCCATCCCTTCTCTCCCTTCCTGTATCCCACAAGGTCTCGACGACCTAACAAGGTTGTGTTGAGCCTCTTTTAGGGGCGCCTCAAAGGTCAAAGCTCTTCCTTCCCCTTTGAGAGGGTGGCACAGGCTTTTACTATGTCGTTCCCTTGCTTCTTCCCTCACTCCATTTTCCCTCCACAGGACGACCCTGACCCTCTCCACGGGATCTAGAGGGGTTCATAGTGGTTCACCACGTGCTAGTGGGGTCCCTGCACTCACTCACTCCTTATCTCTTCCTTGTCGCTTCCCCCATTCCCCGTTCTCCACTCCACAGGACGACTCCGACCCTCTCCCAAGGGATCTAGAGGAGTTCATAGAGGTGCACCGGGTGCCGGTGGGGGACCTGCAGGGCATGGCGCTGAGTGGAGACATGCTGCTGCCCTCCGTGGTCACCTGCACCATGGCTCTGCAGTACCTCAAGGACAACGGCTGGCTGTAACGGGTGTGACTGTAGCGGATGAGACAGCTGCTGGCATCTGCTGTCACCTGCACCATGGCTCTGCAGTACCTCAAGGACCATGGTTGGCTGTGGCTGTAATGGGTGTGACTGTAACGAGTATGGCCAACTGGTGGGAGCCGGCTGGGGACGGTCGGGCTGCTGCTGACAGGGAAAATCGCACAGTTGACTGTGACTGTAACGGGGTGATGAATCACGGACAGTATACTGTGTTTACAAATGCAAAACTTCACAGCCACACGCTGGTTGGCCCAAAAGTCACCCTTTACAAGCACATGGACGTGGGTTGTTAATGCTCATAGCCCCCCACGTGCTGAGTTGCTGATGCGCAGCAACAAGTAATTGCACAAGCTAGAGATCTTCAATTTGCGATGTTTGATAGCGCTTGTGCACTACATTACCTAGTTCACTCACTGTTTCCTCGCACAACCGTCTATATTTTTTAACAGTGCCGATTTGTGGAATAGGCATCGTCAAAACTGTTGAATATCACTTGCTCTCCTTTCCGGGGCTGTATGTACTTTTGCCTGCCCATAACCGGTGGCAGGAGAAATGTTTTTCATCTATTCACCACTTTTCGTATTATTCTAGTTCAGAATTGTTTGCTGCACACTTCTAAACAGGCTGCACTAGTCTTGGTTGGCATACAGATGAGTGAAATGTGAAAAAAAAAGTTCCAGGCATACCGTACAACACTGTTGCAACGGGCTCAGCACTGCAGGTACAGGTACACTGAACTATTGACAAGCAAGAAAAGCAGGATGGTTCAACCATGCCCCTGCTCCTGCAGGAGCCTTATTCACTCTGCACTAGCTACTCGAAGCAGCGATTGAGATTCCACCAAAAAAGCCATTGCAGGCAGCGAGAAAACTGCCTCAAGGAGAGCAGTGCTGGCTGTGCAGTGGAGCAGAGCGGTGGGAAAGGCAGCAGGCGAGAAAGACAAACGGCGCTTATTTAACAGGAAGGGCCGTTAAAGACCAGGGACAAAGGGCATGTGAGAGGACTGCACTGTGGAGGGTGGCGGGGGGAGGAGCGGAGAAGAAAAGTGGCAGGCACGGGTGGAGTGCAGCAGCATCTGTTGATTGAGCCTTGAAAGGTGACAGCTCGTAGTCGGAAGTCATGGTGTGCCTTTGAGGTGCCTAAGATGATGTGCTGTCCTTCCCGCCTGCAGCGGCGTGACGTTGACCGGCACTCTACAGCGGCGTGACGCTGATCTGCACCTTCATGCCGCCCGGCCCGCAGTGGCTGGGCACGGGGCATGCGAAATAGAGCCCTGTGGCTGCATCACCTGCCTGGACTGTGTACCTGCAGAGGGGGGAAGCAGGGATGGAGGAGACAGAGACGACGGAGAGGGGAGAAAAAGGAGCGGGTGAAGGAGGCAGGCGATGCTTTTGAGTCGACTCAAAAGCAGTGGCGACGGAGAATTAGGGAGCAGGTGACGGCGGCAGGCGGTGGGAAAGAAAGCATGCCCGCACCAACCAAGCAAGTGCTTGCGAGCTGCCGGATGTTGAACCAAGAGCAAGTGCAGGAAAGGGCGAGAGCACAAGGGGGCGAAAGAAGGAGTGAGGAAGATCGAGAGAACAGGAAAAATGGAGGGTAACCTGACATATCTAAAGAAGCGCAAACACCGGAACTTGGAGCTGGCGCTGAGCTTGTGACATTGGGAGTCCATTAAACTCAGCTGGCGCTGAGGGCACCTGTGACTTCGGGAGCACGCCTGCACAAAATTTTCGCTTGAGTGCACCTGTGACATTGCGGCCGGACGGGGAAGGAAGATCGAGGGAGCAGGACAGCGAAAGAGTAGTACCTGGTGTAGTGTAGCCAGCGAAGCGAATGGGAGTGACCTTGATGCTGCCGCTGAAGGAAACTTTGAGATGCGGTCGGATGGGATGGGAGAGGAAGATGGAGCGAGAAGGGCAGGGGGGTTAAAGTGGGGCTTCTGGGGGTTGTGGTACCTGGCATAGCCGAAGAAACGAATGGGAGCGACCTTGGTGCTGCCGCTGAAGTCGCAGTTGTCATACGCCGTGCCACTCGCCAGCTTGCGCACGCCGTGCGGCCAGAAGCCCCACTTGAACACTGCGAGCCGTGTGGTGTGTGTGGAGAGGTGTGTGCGGGTGAGAGGGGGAGAGAGGGAGAGTGCATGCCACAGTGCAGGTGAGGGGAATATGGGGAGGGAGGGAGAGCAGGAGGGAGTGGGGACGATTTGGTTAACCACAGGGGAGTCTAGCCAAGAGAGAGCGCAGGCTGAACAAGGAGCAAGTGGAGTAAAATACCCAGGCCGTACACAAGCCTATCAGCACATCATAGGTTCCCGCTCTCCATGACATCTCCCTGCTCGCAAGGCGCTTGCTCCAAATTCGCTCGGCTTGACTGGGCGTTGACTGGCGTTGACTAGCGTTGACTCACCGAGCACATCACCCGGCCTGATGACAGGCTGCCGCCACGACTGGTGGACGTAGAAGGACCACGGCAGGGGACCGTACCCCACCAGCACCGCCTTCGCCTGTGGAGAGGGGCGCGAGGAGGAAGGGGAGGAGGGAGGGGAGGAGGGAGGGAGGAGGGAGGGGAGGAGGGAGGGAGGAGGGAGGGGAGGAGGAGGGAGGGAGGAGGGAGGGGAGGAGGGAGGGGAAAAAAAGAGAGAGACATCATCAGTCAACGGTCGGGGCGAGGAGGAAGCGACAGGTGATGCAGTCAAGGAGTCAACTTGCTGCAGCCAGTCTCTACTGCATTTGCTTGAAGGTCCTTAGCAGTCGTTGGAAAAACGGCTCTTGGCAGGGTGCTTGCCTGGGCTTGCAGCAGGACTGGCAGCACACGTCAACAGCAGGCACACGCCACGTGTGCGACATGCAGGGCGCGTGCGGCGCGTTCGTCATGAACGACAGGTCAGCAGCAGAAGCGGCGACGTTCATGGCCGCCGTGCCACGTGCCATGCGGGCGTTGTCGCGCCGTCAGCAGCAGAGGCGGCGCGGAAAGGGGATGATTGGGGCCGAGAAAACGGCGTGTAGGTTGGATTGAAGGAAAGGGGGGAAAGGGGAGGGGAAGGAAGCGGAGTTGGGAATAAGTTGCAGAGAGAATCAAGAAACGTGGGTAAAGCGAAAGGCGAGTGTAAAGCCCACTGGGTTTAAAACGGGGGTGTTGTAGACGCGCAGCGGATGTCTTCCAACCCTTCTTGTGAGCCCGCAGGTGTTACAGCGAGAAGCACGAGGAGAGAGTGAGTGACTCACGCGGCGCGAGGAGCACGAGCGAGCAGAGGAGAATCGCTGCGCGGGCTGACGCCATGGCTGATCGCGACACGGGTCGATTTCTTAGAGACCAAGTTCCTGGAATTTTAGTTCTTGAGACGACGGAGAGAGGTTGAAAAAGGTATCTCACTTCCAACCTCAGGCGATTCGGTGCCGCGACAATTAGTTAACCTCGTGGTAAGCGTTGCGTACAAGAATATAATCTCAAGAGCGCCACAAAATACTATGTCACAATGGCTTGAAGCCGCCATTGAAATACAAGCAGAGTGATCAGTGGCGCTGCGCGCCGAGCGCTACGTTGAGCTCTGAGCAAGGTGAGGTTAGGGCACGGCAAGGTTCGATCTTGAGCGCGGCGCGGCTGCTTTCTTGCGATCTGACTCGTTGCGGCTGCAAGGGGATGGACGGCGGCCTTCACGGCTCATAAGGGTGGCTAGCCCCGAGCGCGCGCCGTACCGACGGTATGGGCGGCTTTTGTAGGCTGGAAGGGATAAAATGCACGGCGCCGCAAAAACTACGTTGGAAGAGCAAGAAGCCAAAATAGAAGAAGCTGTGGCAGTAGTCGGTCGGTGGCTAAAGCGAGGGCCAAGGGATAGCCAGCCACAGAAGAAGCTGTTCCGTTCAGGCAGCTGCGAGCAGCGAGCAGCGAGCAGCGAGCCGCGTGTTGGTGTTGCCGCCGAGCCCACAGGATGCCGCCACGTGTGCAGTCTTAGCTCCATCCACTTTACAGGCAAGGAATTTGTATGAAGCCTGAACACTTACGGGCAAGTGTAATCAATTGCAATTTAAAATCGTTCAAGAATCTAGGTACCATTGTGAGCAAGATGAAGTTTGACAATTGGGAAATATCTAAGATGGCGGCCAGGCCAGGGCTTACTTTTATTTTTTAGGTACTTACCTGTAGCAGTGTTGTCGTTTTGAAACCCTGATAATTAGTATCCCCCATGGAGATTTTATTTAGCCGCCATGGTAATCGTTGTTTCCTGGAAGAGAATATATATACGCAGGAGTGTAAGATTTTCCGTAACTATATTGATGTGTGCATAGCAAGAATATGCACCACCAACACAAAGGGTATTACTATACTAAGTCTACACTAAATGCGATTATACGTATATATAAAAATATATGTTTTCTAACACACCTTCTAACTGCCTGGAGTGAAGAACCCAGGGGAATAACGAACACAGGGTCTTCAGTTCCCAGATTTCTTCCCCAAAGATCACCTTCGCGAAGTCCAGCGGTTACTGTGACATAATACGCACACTGTCTCGGAGGCTTTCGCCTTCGCATCCCAGAGTCGCATCAGCCTGCCTGGCGAGTTTGAATCTGTTTGAACAGAAGTCCCTCACTTTCGCGAAGGCTGTTTGCGAAATCCAGGTGAGTTTGAAAATGTTTGTCCCCTGATCATCGCTACTTCGTGCCTGCAGTCACCAAACCAGCACGACCTTCTGCCGAATATCGAAGAACCGATTTATACCGTACCCAAAACTATCGTAACCAAGAATGTGGAGTGAAGAATTTTCAAGCAGACACAGGCGAGCTTCCATTCTCATCCTCGAATTCCGAACTTCCTTGATTCTTCAGGAGCTATGAACTCGCAGTGGCAGATAGTCCACGATTACCACATCTGCGACTTATTCCCACGGCGCGTTGCGGCAATGATCTTCTTCTTCCGCTGCGCTCTTGTTTGACGTGTCGCCATGCTCACGCCCTCGGAGGTGGGATGAGGCAGCCTCACGTCGCGATGGTTGCACAATGCCCTGCCAGTATTGTCCTGGCGTCGAGATTCGCTACTATAAAGCATTTCAGTGGAGCACAGCCTCAGCATCTTCATTCTTCTAGAAATCGACCATCCCACTCTACTTGGTCTAAGCGTCATCACTCCAGGGACCGTCGCTTCTATTTCCTCATCAGACACTTTTTCAAGCTGTTGCCCTTACTACTGGGAGCACCATTACCATCGCCGTGTCGTAGCCATCTGATCTCATATCCTCGATAGAGCCAGCACCGTTCGGCACTACTGGCTTCTGTTCATCACTACGAGATTTCGTCGGCGCCATCATGACTCGAGCGTTCCTCCTCCTCGTCGCGCTATCCGCGTTATTAGCAGTTGCGGCTGGCGTCGCTGCCGCAACTAACCCCCCCCGCTCAGGCAAGATCGCTCTGCGTGGCGGCGACGGCAGCGTGACCAGCGGGACCACAACACCTGGCGGGCGCGGCGGCAGCGGCGATTCCCACACCGTTTCGCACGGCGACTCGCACGGCGATTCGCGGCACGGAGGGATTCTTGGCGGCGGGAGTGACGAGGAGAGGGAGGACGACGACGGAGGCCACGGCGGGCATGGCGGCCGGGGGCATGACAGCGACGAGGACGACTCTTCTACTGATGACGACCATAACAGCGAGCACGAGGGCGAAGCTAACAGCGATGATGATAGCGACGACGACAGCGAGCATGGCGGTGGTGGCAGCAGCCATGGCGGCGGGCTGTGCGGGCGGGGCGGGTGCAGCAACGAGTCAGGCGAGGTGGGGTACTGGAAGCTGCCCGACTATGGCCGCTGCTCCATCGGCACCGCCAGCAGCGGTGGTGCGCCGAGGAAGGCAGATGAGGCGTGGTGTGCGGGGGCGGCGGTGGGCGTGAAGGAGTGTTGCAGCCGATGCAGCAGCGTCAATGCCACGGCTGATGGCACGCCCTTCAACTGCCGCCACTGGGCGCACATCCCATGAGTGCCTTGCCTTCCACCTGCTTCCTTGCGTCGTTTACCGATCTGCTTTTTTTTCCATTGCGCATTTCCACGTTCCTTGCTTCGAGTCTCTCAACCTCTCCGCTCTTCCCTTCCCTTGCTTCGAATCTCCCAGATCTCTTGACTCTCACGACCGCCACAGCAGCGAGCAGCGAGGCAAGTGCGTCCTCCTGCCGGCCGTGGACGCGCTCACGCCCGAGAAGGCCCGTAAGGGGCGGTGCGGCACCAACACGGGCGGCGACACGGTGCGCGTGGGGCGGCGGTGTGCCAGACCGCTCCTTCTGCCTCTACACCGACCGCCAAGTGCACGTCAACATGGCCATGCGCGGCTACCTCGACCACCGCCCCCTCCCGCCCTCTGCTGGTAACCGTAGCATGCTGGCTGCGGCTCGTTTTGTCAACGGCTCGGCCGTTCGCACGTGGATCCGACAGCTGGCGATCATGTGGCACGACGGCGAGAGCAGCAACAGCAACAGCACAAGTGCTCACTCACTCGTGCTGATGGCACGGGATGGCAAGGAGCAGACTCGCGGCGCTCAAGGCTTCCTTGCATCCGCCACTCTTGACAACAAGCCTCTCCCACGCCTGACTCTTGGCGAGAGCCATGTTCTCTCGAACGCGCAGCTGATTCTGTCCTTTGTGGGCCAGGAGAAGACCGGCCCGTTCGACGTGGACGTGTACACCCTCCGCCTGGAAAATCTCCTGGAGCTCGAGCTGAAGCTGCGCGCGGCGCACCCTCTGTTGCAAACACCTGAGGACGCGCAGGTGCACATCAACCTGATGTTTGTGGACTCGAATCCGAGCAGGCAGGTGCACGGGGTGATGGGGCAGACGTACCGCAGCGGCAGGGAGCAGCGCACCATGGAGTATTCGAGGCTTGCTGCTCTGCTGCACCACCCTGTGTCGGTGGATGGGGAGGAGGGCAAGGGGTTTCTGGATGGGCAGGTGGGGGATTATGAGATGTCGGGAGTGACTGCCACTGACTGCAGATTCACTGCTTTCAATGGCGGCCAGCTGCCTCTGCTGGCAGAGGAATGAATTCCAAAGCATCAGTGGGACTTCTTTCCTCCACCCACAGACGTCATTTCCCCTTTCCTTCCCTTCCATTCTTACCAGCAAGGTATAAGCTAGTGTTCTCTTGTATTCTGGCGGTAATCCAAATTCTCGCTTTCATCCGAAGGTCTTTCACTTTTACCCTAAAACCAATCTGTAACTTTATAATAGTGTCCTGTGCTGGAATGGAAAGTCGAAGTTACAAACACAATACACTTTGTTTTGTTACGAAGTACGAAAAATATCCTTCGTTCCGTTTTGTTTTGATCGGTTCTAGGACTCGCGGAATATACCACACCTTTACAGATTCTAAAAATGAAATGACCATGCAGTGCTCCTGTCCTGGAAGCTTTCCTAAACGAAGCATTCATGAGAGCACACAGACAGAAGGAGCAACCCCAACAGGTGCAATCTACCAGTAACAGCAACTTCAGTGGCAGTCGAGAGTGGGACGGGGCTTGTCGTCTTCATGTGGACATCGCTGCCATGAGACGTCGTGGTCACTTACATTGGTGCATTGTACTAGGCTAAAGATGGCACAGTGCAGGCGGCTTTAGGCGGCAGGCTAGGGCGAGATGGGGATCATTGTCTTCATGTGGTGGGCGCTGCAGTGGGCGTCCACGCTGCAGGCGAAGAAGAGAGTTGTGCCCGCTGCTGTCCGTGGCACCTTGTACCTGAAATGGTTGAGAGCGTTTGAGAGGGTTCAGCGGGTTTGAGAGGGTTGAGGCAGGGACAAGAGGGCAGGCAATGACATGAAAATTTCAGCATGGAAATCTCAACAGTAACGCCCAGGCTGTGTGTCTTTACCTTGTGTTATCCAAGGAAAGGAATATCAACAGTAACAACGAGACAAACCAAAGGTTGGTGGAGGCTGGTGAGAGTTGGTGAAGGGTGGTGAAGGATGGTGAAGGTCGGTGACGGGGGGTGATGGGGGGTGAAGTGTGGTGCGGTTGGGTTGTGCAAGGATACTGAAATGGTATGTGCAGCAGAGGAGGCATAAGCGCACTTGTATTTGTGGGAGGTGTGGACGCGGGTGAGCCTCTGGCCCATGGCGAAATCACTTTCGAGATTTCTCAAAAGTGATTTCATTCAACAGAGATTGGAAAGGTGTGTGCAACAGAAAGGGCGGCAGCGCAGTACTTGTAGCGCTCGGAGATGTGGACGTGCTTGAGCCTCTTTCCCGTGGCGAAGGTGCAGTTGGTGTAGGCCGCGAAGTCCCTGAGCTGCCACACGTCATGCCGCGCCATGCGCCAGCGGAACACTGCGCGATGGTGGGGTGAGAGTACAGGAAGGAAGGACGTACAGGGAGAATGAAGATGAAAAGGGGGAACGATTAGTATGCAAGGGCCTTGACGCGCTGCACTTCATGCGACACACGGTATGCGCTGCCATGCACCAGCGGAACACTGCAGGGTGGGGAGTAGGGGCGGGGGGAGGAGGAAGAGGAGCAAGGCAGGGAGAGTAAAAAATCAGCAGAGGGAGACTGGAAGAACGGATTGAGGTTGGGAGGGTGAGGTGGGGAGGGGAGGATGAAGTGGAGGGGAGCCAATGATGACGCGGCTCACATGAGTGCAGCAACACACGGGGCTTGGTAAGCACATGCATGCACACACGGGCTGCCACGGGCTGCCAAGGGCTTACCAAGCTTGTCCCCTGGCTTCACACGGGGAGGCTTCCAGGACTCAACGCCGTACGACCACGGGCTGAACCACCCCCTGCCCACTTTCACTGTCTTGGCCTGGAAGCATGGGGATAAGGGAACGAAACAGGGGGTGGTGGGGAGTTTAGAGGGGTGGGGATATTTGGGAAGAGACTCAAGTAGGGGGAGAAGGAGGAGGAAGAATATTGGCGAGAGGGAATGGCCGGATGCAAGAAGAGACAGACAAGCCGGAGGTAGGAAGGGGAGAGGGTAACGTGTGGCGGATGGCAAGCGTGTGGCAGGCACAAGGCATGGTTGGTGGCAGCAGTGGCGGCTGCAGTGGTGGTGGCAGTGGTGGTACCTGAGTGTCGGCCGCACCTGCACCACGGAGGGTCAGAGGACAAGACGGGGGCAACTCGGAAGAACAGATGAAGAGAATTGTTAGAAGAGAGGCAGCGAGGAAAACAAGAGTGGGAGGAGGGATAGGGAGAACGAGGGAGAGCGCGGGGTGAGAAGGAGGACAAGGACAGTTCTGAAAAGACAAGGGGCAGTGAGGGGCGAAGGGAGAGTGGCGAAAGGACGCAAGCACAAGCAGCGGACCACCTGTCAACGGCTCACTTCTCACAAGACTTCACTTACACAGCAGCGCGAGGAGACTTCTGAGTCAGACTCAAAGGTCACCTCGAGCAGCGGATCACCTGTCAACGGCTCAATTGCAAGCACGAAACTATCTTCTAAACTCTCAAGAATCATGAATCACGAGACTTGACTCACACAGCAGCACGAGGAGCAGCAGCGCACACAACAGTTTGAGCCGCGTCATGTCGGCCGCTGTAACGCGCGAGAGGCGACTTCGCTGAAACGCGCGGCGCCGCTAACTACCAGAAGTACGGAAAGCACGCAAACTGAGAGTCCGAGGCGGGCGTGCGGGAGAAGAAGTCTGGATCGATTCGACTCGAGTCTGCTGCTGCGATTACGGTGGAGACGGTGGTGATTTAAGCGGACTTCGGGAAGCTGCGTGCGCCATGGCAGTAGAGCGACTATATAACCGCGCCGCGCACGGACAGGCGCAGTGACTGTGGCCGATAACCCGCAGGCGTGGCGGGGAGGAACGAACGACGGTGATTGCGCTCGGACGGTCGGAAGTACGGCGCGTCTGGCGCAAACAGACGCCTCGTCGGCGCCGGCCATGGCGCAACTAACTTCCCCTTGCGCAACGCTGCGGATAGCTTTCTAAGACGGGCCGCGCCAAAGTAGCGCGGGGGTGAGGCGCTTCCTGTGTCCAATTTCGGTTTGGTATGGATTTCTCTGCAAGTCCAAGCGTGGGGGTGAGGCGCTTTCTCTGCAAGCCGGATGGCAGGCTCGGATGGCACTGAGCGAGCCGCCATGGAAGAGGAAAGCATGCCACGTGGCAGGCTGACTCCTCCGTTCTCTTCGACATGCGCAGCTTGCCTCTGCGAAGCGGCAACGGTGATTATCGAAAGCCAATCAGCGTACGGCAAGTCGTGCGGCGCATGTGCGTGGCAGCACGTGCTGTATTTGGCACGGCTGCAACACGATACTCCCTAAGCCGCTGTCGAATGGCGGGGAGTCGCGACGAATTGTTCACTTCAGCAACTACGCAAAACAGAAAGGTTGTGGCGTCATCACTCACTAATATTTTGAAAGTAACGAACATAAGTTGAACACTCTACCACACTGAACCACGCTTACTCCTCGGTAAAGAGCACGCCGGACTGAACCCCCTAATGAAACAATCAAGTGGTTTAGTTACAGAAAAGACTACAAATTTCACGTGCAAAAGGTGGTGGGGAATCTCTTCATCTACAGGAGGACAGGCGCCATGGTTTCTGCTCCTCCGAAGACACCTGAAGAGACACCTGAGGTGGCATGGCATGGCACACTGCAGTTGACTAGTCTTAAGGCACCTGAAGAGGCAGACCAGGGCGAATGCGTTGCAGAGAGATGGCATGGCGGCATTGGGGCTCTAGATGTCACAGTGCAAGCGGCTTCAGACGTCACTCAAGGGAGAGAGAGGCATCTTAGGGATGGCGCTGCTGTGAGGCGGCATGGCGGCTCTGGGATGGCGTGTTGCAGGAAGCTTCAAATGGCATTCTGCAGGCAGCTTGAAATCACAAAGCGCGGGCAGTTTCAGTTGGCTGGCACATTGCAGGAGGCTTCAGATGCTGCAGAGGAGGCAGCTTCACACGGCTTGATATCACACTGCAGACTGCATGCGGCTTCAGACGGCAGGCTAGGGCGAGATGGGGATCCTAGTCTTCATGTGAAAGACGCTGCAGTGGGAGGGCACGCTGCAGGCGAAGAAGAGCGTTGTGCCCGCTGCTGTCAGCGGCACCTTGTACCTGAGAGGGTTGAGAACGGTTGAGAGGGGTGAGCAGGTTGGGAGGGTTGAGAGGGTTGATGCAGGGACATGAGGATGTGCAATGAGTTGAGGATGTATGCAGGGAGCGTTTCAGGGTGATATCAGTAGACAAGGGTGATATCAATAGACAAGGTGATATCAGTAGACAGGGTGACAAACCAAAGGCTGGTGGAGGCTGGAGAGGGTTGGAGAGGGCTGGTGAACGATGGTGAAGGGTGGTGGTGGTGGGTTGTGCAAGGGAAATTGAAACGCGCTGTGCAGCAGAGGGCAGAGCACCTGTAGCGGTAGGAAGTGCGGATAGGGGTGAGCCTCTTGCCCGTGGCAAAGGTGCAGTTGGTGTAGGCTGCTAGGTCCTTGAGACGCCACACGTCATGCGCTGCCATGCGCCAGCGGAACACTGCACAGAGAAGAGGAGGGGAGAACGCAGAGGGGAGGATGAACGTGGGAGACGGAACAGGGAGAAAGAAGATCGAACGGGGAAAGGAATAGGATGCCAGGTCTTTGAGGGCGCCACGTGTCATGCACTGCCATGCGCCAGGGGAACAATGCTCAGTGGGGAGAGAGGGGAGAACGAGGAGGGGAGGAGGAAGAGGCGCCAAGAGGGGAGAGTGAAGAGGTAAGCAGAGGGGACTGGGAGATTGGAAGGAGGTGGGGAGGATGAGGTGGGGAGGGGAGGATAAAGAGTCACGCTATTGAGCAGCAACACAAGGGCTGCCAAGGGCTTACCGAGCACGTCTCCTGGCTTCACACGGGGAGGCTTCCAGGACTCAACGCCGTACGACCACGGGCTGAACCACCCCCTGCCCACCGTCACTGTCTTGGCCTGCTCGCATGGGGATGGGGGGGCGGAACAGGGGATGGTGGGGAGGGAGATAGAGTGGTGGGGAGTATTGGGGGAGAGACGCAAGCAGGGGGGAAAGGAGGTGCAAGAAGCGAATGGATGCAACATGGCTGACGGAGAAGCCAAAGGTAGGAGTGAAAAAGGGTGACGTGTGGCGGTGCAAGGCTGGCTGGGGGCAGCGGTGGTGGCGGTTGCGGTGGTGAGGGCAGTGGCGGTACCAGAGTGTCAGCTGCACCTGCAGCCACAGAGGGTCAGATAAGAGAAGCAATGGGAGCAGTGGGAGAACAGATGAAGCGAATTGTCAGGCGAGAGAAAGCAAGGTGGAAAGCGAGGGGAACAAGAGTGAAAGGAGGGAGAGAATGAGATAGAGCGCGGGGTGGGACGGAGGGTCAGTGCAGGGCGAAGCGAGGTTGGCGAGAGGACGCGAGCACGAGCAGGGGCATCTGTCAACTGCGCATTCACTATCACGAGACTTGACTTACACAGCAGCGCGAGGAGGAGCAGCGCGCCGAGCAATTTGAGCCTCGCCATCTCGGTCGCGGTCGCTGTCTTGCGCGGGAAGCTTGGAAACTATCGGAGGCAAGTCCCAGGCGGGCGAGCGGGTGAGGAGGTCTGGATTGATTCGACTCAAAGCTTTCAATTGCGTGCAAAAGATGATGTGATTCCAACGGAGCTGCGTGCGACATGGCAGCGACGCGCAGCAGCGTGACTAAATAGCCGCGCGCCGCAAGGAAGGGCACAAGAATGGGCGCGCACGGAAGGGCGCAAGAAAGGGCGCGCACAGAAGGGCGCACGGAATGGCGCACGAAAGGGGGCCAGGAAGGGCGCACGAAATCGAGCACGAAAGGGCGCACGGAAGGTCGCACTGGCGGCGGCCGATAACTCGCGACAGGCGAATCATTGGCGGCGAGGAACGAGCGACGGTCACGGTGACGACGCCGACGGTCGGACGGTCGGACGGTCGGAAGCACGGCGCGTTTGGCGCAAGCGGACGTGTCGGCGCCGGCCATGGCGCAATAGCTTCCCCTCGCGCAACGCTGCGGATTGGGGTTTAAGACCGGCCGCGCACAAGTAGCGCGAAGGAAAGATGCATGCTGTGGTTCCCGCAATCAACGTACAGCACCATCGCGCGGTGCGGAGCATATGCGAGTTCTCGCCCCTTGGAGGTCGGTTTGGTTGGAGAGAGATAAGGCAGGCTCGGGTGGCGCTGAGCCAAGCTCCGCTCCGTTCCCTTCCCACATGCGCCGCTCGCCTGCGCCGTCAAGCAGCGTCGCAAGTCCTGCGGGGCACGTGCGCGGGCACCATACCACGTGCTGTATGTTTCATTGCTGCAACTCGACCTTCCCTAGGCCGCCGACGAATGGCGAGTCGCGACGAATCCTGCATTTCAAATAACTACCATACTAGGCGGTGGGAGAAAACGTTGTGGGAACGTTCTGACGGAGACCCCAGAAAGTCGGATATTCGATCGCACTGAACCACGCGAAAATACTCAATGACGAGCAAATTGCCCCTCGATAGATTGCTACACGAACGCTGTCAATGTTATGAGTTGTGAAAGGAAAGAGTGCGCAGAACTCAATAATGCGGACGTGATTACAGTGTCTGAGAACACGAGGCCTAGGACTAATATAGCGAAGCTAGCTAGGCCGAGGTCGCGGGGTCGCGAGATGGTTGGGTGCAGGTTCGGGGTTTGGAAAACCCGAAGGCAACGCGGTGGTGGCTCGGAAGGCGAGGTCGGCGGACCGAGCCTGGTTTTCCGAAAACCGGGGTTGTACGCGTACAGTGTGACCCAGTAAGGAATCCGGAAAAAATCCTTACACTACCCCCCCCCCCCCCCCCCCCCCCCCCCCCCCCTTAAGAAAGGTGGTGAATATCCGAGACACCTCGGCGGGCCAGGTAAGCATCTGTTGGAAACAATCGATCTTAAGCGCCTCTGTCGTGTCGAAAACACTAAGGCACAAATGAAGCGAAGCATATCGAAGCACCGGCGAGTCAACCCTCGGAGGTTGAAAGTAACTGTTGGAGGTTACGCGAAAGTCAAAGGTCAGCGACCTTTGACCCGACAAGTACAGCGCGACAGCAAGGACACACAACTGACTCGCTACAGAGCAGTTGCCCGAGTCGTCACTGTATCGAACCGCAACAGCAACAGTAAAGCAGTTACAACCGTATCTCTTCGAATTCCTTGTACTCCTATATAATATTGTATCTCCTTGCTTTAATCAACTTACTTTGCCCTCACATACTAGCGCAAGGTGGTTCACAACTCTTCATTAAACGCTTCCGCTATTACAGTAGTCCTACCCAGAGTTCACCCGTTCAAAGATCCTAAGGGCTTTTCTCAGCCCAACATGGTATGAGAGCAGTCAGGGAGAATTCAGCCTCTATTAAGATACCGACAACATCAACAGACATGGCTACACAAAAGGAAAGGAGCTCCTCCAACGGCTCCCAGGGCACTACTCCTACTCCACCTCCTGCCTCTGGCCTACAAGACCCAGGGCAACATCCACCGAGACTCCTGCGAATCAACCTGCAGACTTCGACCAGAGCATCATGGAGAAATTCTTCTCCTTCATGTCCTTCTACGAGCAACACCAGCAATCGGCACATGCGCAGTCACACAATAGCAACAACAACGGAGCAACTCCCATGAGTCTCGACGGCTCATCATACGCACGAGGAAATCAACAGCAGCAGCCTACCTTTGCCCCGTACGAGCGCGGGTCCATCAGCTTTATGCCACACCCGCAGCCTTCACCTGGACAAGAAAAGTCACTGGACGCATTACAAGTTCAGTCGCAGTTCGCGCACGTTCTGAAGATGCAGACGTCGAGACCTTTCGATGGAAAGGATTTCTTCACCTGGTCGTTTGAATTCGAGTTAATGATGGAAGGCGCGCAGATACTTGGCTTCTTCGACGGGTCCCTGCCATACCCAACGAACGACACGCAGTATGAGAAGCAGCAGTACACCTATCAGTCGATGATGGCGTACACGATTCTACTGAGGAACATCACCCCAACCCAACAGCAGAATATACGGTCTTACCGGGGTTACGGCAATTCCGCGGAGCTCGCATACAACCACTTGAAGAGCCTGTATCAAGCAACAGACAGCGTAAATCAAATTCGGTTAATGGCGCAACTGACAACGGTCGAAATGAAACCAGGCGAGAAAGGAATGACGTATATCAACAGATGTCGCGAGTTGCGCGACAAGCTTCTTCGATGCGGAGGGTCGATTTCCGAAGACGCCTTCGTGACAGTCATCATTGGAGGCCTCGGTCCTCAATGGCGCGCCACAAAGGGCATTCTCCGAGCCCACGGAAGAATCTCCGAAGCAGCACTCTGCGCCGAAATCCATGCCGAGCAGCAAGACATGGACCTGCAAGAAGAACGACACAAGAAGAAGACATCAGCACCGGAATTTGCATTCCACACTCAGCGACGCCACAACAACTACAAACAACAACAACCGAAGCCCGTACCTCCGTTCTGCCACATCTGCAAGACGTTAGGGCACCCGCGCACGCACTGCCCGAATCGACAACAGTCAACGCCTTCACAGCGGCAGCTTCGACCCTCAAGCAGTCAAGTCACTTCAACACAAGCAAATCCCTCGACCCAGATTAAAACCTCAACGACCTCAACAGGACAACCTGCACAAGGAGCAAGGAACATCGTCAGTTGCATGGCAAGACTGAGCGACTCTTGCATCACGGGATCACCACCGTACTACTCACCGGAAGAACAACTCGACGACACCACACCTCACCGCGATTCACTCCAGCCGAATCCGACATACGCAGCCATCGCCCAAAGCGAGCCATCCGGAAAGGACACGTGGTTCTTGGACAGTTGCTGCGGACAACACATGTGTTCTTCAGGACGCTTCGTGCAACGAGAGTACCAACTCCAACGCGAAGTAGTCATCACCGTCGCCAACAACGAAAACCTGCGCACACGACGACAAGGAGTCGTTCAACTTCAGTCACGAGAAACAAACGTCATACTACAAATGTCCAAGGTCTTAATCGCAGAAGGCCTTGGCTACAACTTACTCAGCGTTAGCCAACTGATGGCTAAAGGTATCCACCTTGAAGCAGACAGCACCACTCAGGAGTTCAAGCTGTACCACGGGAAGGGCGGTCTCTACATCGGAAAGGCGATCCTGAAAAATAACGTCTTCGTTCTTGATTTTGTTCCAGACCGAGGCACAGCAGACAGCGACGGCATCGTCACCTTCACTTCCTGGACTCACCCTCCAGACCTTGATCCAGACTTCAGCCCCGGCGGCTTCTGGTATTCACACAGCATCCCTGAGGCAGAAAGAACAAGGGCGTTAGCAACAATTCAGACAACATCGGCAGCAGCAGAGACAACATCGGCAGCAGCAGAGACAACATCGGTAGCAGCAGAGACAACATCGGCAGCAGCAGAGACAACATCGGCAACAGCAGAAACAACATCGGCAGCAGCAGAACCATCAACGGCAGCAGCAGGAACGTCAACACCAGTCGCTGGTCCTTCAACGGCACCACTTCTCTGTTAGAACCTTAGGTGAGAATGTCGAGAGAATTGAATGAACTAGAAAGGAGATGGGTACAAGTAGAAAACACAAAAGTGTTGTACCCTCTAAGAACTACCCCACTACAGCCTAAACAGACTATAGCAGATATAAGTTTGACACACCCCCATAGGCAAAGTGGGGGAGAACAAGAGGTCACATGACCAGTCAAGAAAGGCAAAGCAAGCTCAGGGTGGATCACAAAGTCACCACGCAGTCTGAGCACAAGCAAATGGCCACAAGGCCAATTTACATGCACATTTATATAAAGGAGAACAAACAATACAGTGAATACAACCTAGCAAGTGTAAGCATGCAGGTATATGTAGAAAGAGTACAGTACAAGCAGAGTCAAGAAGAAAGCAAGTGAGGCACAGTAGGTACAAGGCCTAACACAGTACAGAAACGCTGATGATCACAAGGCTGAAGTGCCTTGGTGAAAACATCAGCTGTGTTGGCCTGAGAGGCCACGTAAGCAAGACGAAGCTGGCCACGCTGCTGCAACTCTCGAGCAAGGAAGTAGCGTAGAGCAATGTGCTTCGTTCTGTGCTCTAGTCTGTGCTCCTGACACAAGGCAATGGCGGCCTTGTTGTCGACGTACAGCACTGGAGGAGAACGAGGCGCCTCTCCCAAGTCGGTCAGCAGGTAGGTGAGCCAGCGTAG